CCACACTCTTAGTTTGGGTATAAGTGGCAATCCCAATGAGGATGAAAGATTGAGTCCATAGTCAATATGGGAAGAGGACGCATGGATTTCTGCCCAGGAGATGTAAAGGTAGCCACTTTAGTTGTCATGATTAGCCATTTTTATAACCCCTCTCTCCCTGTCTCTACGTCTTCTTCTCTCTTCCTTCTCTCTCTCTCTCTCCAACAGGAACTCATCACTGTAGACTGGGTAAGCAGAAGGCCTTATCTCCCTCGGTGGACATAAGGCCTCCTCAACTCTAACCACTGGTCTTCTTATGAAAACGCTCATTTGGGCTTATATAAAGATCACAGGGTTCTGAGAATGTTGCATTGCCTGCTAGGAATGGTGATAGATATCATGAAGGGCCAAACGGGCAGCGATCTCCCCTGTTCCCATGACTGCATGGAATATCCCCATAATGCAATTCTAAAATCCAAGAAAATCAAGATTTAAATAGCAAAACTGGATTTAGGGCAAGTGGGCTATTTCAGGACTTAATTTTGCTGCATATATGGTATCCAGAAATTGTTGATATTGGCTTACTGAAGAGTAGGCAGTATTGGGACCAGCAGTTAGCGTAGTGGCTGTGTCGCTGAACTCCCATGTAGTCCATCACGTTTCGAGTCCCGGGCCCGGTGGCTTAAAACTCATGCTGGACGCGTGTGTGTGCGTGCCCAAGATCCTGAGAGGAGAATGGAGGAGAAGGGATTGCAGCGTGGCCATCCCTCCTGGGGGGTGATTTCTTTCTCTCTCTCTTTCTGGCAAGCACATGTACCCTATAGCAAAAACCTCTCAAAAATTTTTTTTAAAAAAAGAGGCAGTATTCTGGAAGGGGGTGCAGTTTGAGGAGTGCTGCACTTCAATAAATGGAGGGAAGAATTTTTCAGGCCTTTTTAACACGCCATTAATATTTGCTAATAACCAGGTATGAGTGTACAAGAAACATGGATGCCAGTCAATGTGAGCACAGGCTGAAATGTGAAGATCAGTAACACAAAACTGGAGTAGGTAGAAGGAGGCTCAGAGTTAAGAGATGAACCTGAACTTGGAATCCTCTCCTTGACCAGGATATACCTCAAAATGGAACTGACCACAGACATGTCTGCCTAGGAAGTTTCTGCATTACTTGAAATAAGTCAGTACAGAGAGTATTGACATCAGCTCCTTCCTATCCCATCTGAGCTCCTCCTGGGAATGAAAGTTTTCAAAATAAGAAGGAGAACTTTAGTCTTTTGCAAGCTTGTGGATCTAGGGCATTTTTCCTCCCCTTTTCTTGCTCATCTCTCATTTTGTGGTTGGAAGTTACCTTTGGTCTTGGAGAACTCAAAAGGAGCCAGAATAGATCCCAGAGGAGAGGAAGCACAAAACGCTGGCTTTGCTTGTACTTGAGGCCTAGGGAACAACTGTGAACAGGACCTTCTTTTTAGATGGCCCAATCCAGTTCTCCAGAGAGAAGTGTGTGCATGTATTCTGGGCAGGACTGTCTTGGAAGGAAGCTTGAGCCTTTGTCTTAACTGGACTCTATCTCATGAGAACCAGAAAGTGGCAGACTGGCACAGAAGGGCCCAGTCCAATAGAGCCAAACATTCCCTCTGGGCGCTAATTGGGCAGAAGTTTGGATTTTTCTCAGTTACCCCAAATATTTTGTTACAAGGTTAGGAATTTTTTCTTTTTCTATTTTTCTTTCTTTTCTTTTTTCTTTTCGGAGAGGTTTTTGCTATAGGGTGCATGTACTCGCCAGAAAGAGACAGAAAGTGAGAAATCATCCCCCAGGGAGGATGACCATGCTGCAATCCCTTCTCCTCCATTCTCCTCTCGAGATCTTGGGCACACACACACACACACATGCGCCTGTGTGAGTTTAAGCCACCAGGTCCAGGACTTGAACCGCAGTAGACTCTATGGGAGTCCAGTGGCATAGCCATTACATCAACTGCTGGTCCCTTCTTTTCTTTTTTTGAGGGATTTTTGCTATAGAGCCCATGCACTCACCAGAGAGACAGAAAGTGAGAAATCATTCCCCAGGGGGAATGACCACACTGCAATCTGCAATCCTTCTTCCTCTATTGTCTCCTCAGGATTTTGGGCATGCTTGCACATGTGTCTGGTGTATTTCAAGCTGCTGGGTCCTAAACTCAAACCAGTTGGCCATGTGGGAGTCCAATGCCTTAACCACAATGCTACCTGCTGGCCCCTATCATTGGATTTTTTAATAGTCCTTACCTTCCTGTGTCCTTTATCCTCAGTGGTAAAATGGAACTTGTATATATACAAGTCATCAGTGACATGAGAGTCAAATCAATACTGTAGAGAACGAGGGGTGCTGGGGGAAGCTCTCTTACTGGGGTCAGCTTGGTCAATATTGCTCATTGTCCCAATTAATTTTATCAATCTTCCAGTCAAAAGGTCCATGCTTTGGGCCTTAAATCTACTGCTGATAAACCATTTAATTAAAATTAAAACATGCAATCTGCTTTCATGAACATTTTATAATGTCAAAGAAAACAATAGGTGGTGTGTTCTGCTATGAGCAAACCCAATGGATGGATGAATGGATTTACAAAATAAACTAGGGGTAGATTATTGACAAAACGCTTCGACATAATTTAAATAACAAGCTTCTCTGATGCATTTTTCAAAAACACACTTCATTTATGGCCAGTTTTTCAGAACACTGATCAGTCACATCAATCGTCTCATGCCTGCCTCACTGCCCAGTCTATAGGAGTCTGCTGTCTGAGTGCAGGTCTGTTTCCTAAAAGGATCTCTGGTCAGATATATTACAACCAATAGAAAGAAGAACAAAATAGTTATGCCCATAGCTTTCCTTTCTATTCAGCTGCTAGTCAAGTTACCCTGAATCTAGTTGGGGAATTCTCTCCCTAAGGTATAAATACAGTTTTGTTAGATACCAAGTGAGACAACAGGAAACATTTTTTAATGAACAAACAACTTTTACAGAGACCATCTATATCACATGGTTATTACAACAGGGATGAGCTGAAATTCTATGTGTACAGATTTGGAGGAAGGAAACCCCTAAAAAGAAATGAAGCATATAGAGGTAGTTGAATAGCAACATGGGGAAATAAAAGCATTGTTCTTAATTCCCTTCAGTTCATTACAGTGCAAGAGTAAAACGGTTGCTTAACAAATGGGAAACAAACACACATACATTTGCCACTGGTGAGGTGGCTTGCTTGATATTTTAATCCTGGCATTACTGAAAACCGCATGAAATGGTGAAACTCCTTTAAGATAAGCCTATGGGGCCACACTGACCTATTTATTCTCTTAGTTTGCTGCTCATTGTAGTTGCTTTAACAATCGATAAATGTTAATCGGCTTTGAAAAGGATGCGTAAGATACAGAGTTGCTTTGTAAACTTCTGTTAAATCACGTTTGCTGCACATATTTTTAAACGGCTACAGAGTCATGAAGCAAAAGCTTTAAAGTGACACCAGGAACAGAGATTACAGGCACTTCTCTCTGGAGGTTGACTTAGCATGTTCAGAAAATTTCTTCATTTTGTCTCTGGATGTGCATAACCCAGATTATTAAATAGTTGAACAGAGTAATAAGTGGGAGTGATCATTCTAAGATGAACTGAATGTGTACATTTTACAAGGCTCCTTTTCCTTCTCCTTTCTGCACAAATGGGGCACAAATTGAAGCCCATGCAGCCAGCTGCTTTATAGATCTGTCTTCAATCACGGCTCACAACTTCACTTCTCAGGCCCAAGAACGGATTCTTCCATTATTTGGGCTGCCTTCCATTTGCATCTTTGTCATACACCTCTGCTGTGATTCTGCCTTGGTGAGTGGAAATGGATGTGAAGTCGACACGTGAGGAACTCAAAGGATGAGTCCCTGAAGAAAACTCCCATCTTGGAATGGAGTTGGCGTGGGGAATCCAGTCCCCAGGGATTGTAGTCCATCAACAGTATGCAATCTGTTGACGGTAAGAGACCTCTGGGTGCTGTGAATCAGCCTTAGGAGCTCTGCCACTCCAATGGCCAAGTCACAGGGGATTATCTGAGCCCAGCCAGCTCCACGGGCAGAGCTGGAAGTGCCACACAAGCAATCACTCGGCTTGCCCCTTGCTCTGGAAGCAGCATGGGGTCAGCAGCAGCCTGCCTTAGGAAAAGGCAAACCGTTGAAACAGTTAATTCCCTGCCTACCCCCTAAGTCAGGGGTAAGCATTCCTTTTCCAAGTTGTCTACAGAAAAATTGTTTCTTCATTTTCTACATTTTGCTGGTTATTTACTAGCAGCAGCAGTACGGTACAAAGCAGAAAGGCATGATGTCTGCTTGCTACCTAGTGTAAGTTTGTCTGTGTGTGTATCGCACACATGCACAGACAGACAGAAAAACAACCTACTAGGGAAACTGGGTCAGTCACAATAGCCAAGAAAATGAACCAAATACATGGCACTATCTACCAAGGGGGAAGTCTTGTCCTTCTGGCCTAGATTTTGCTCTTTTTTTTCTGTATACTCTTCACTCCCAAGCTGCATAGCAAGAGCAATTGACAAGTGGCAAAAACGATCAAGTCCAATTGATTACCCTACTTAAATATATCCCAAATACCAAAGCCAAGGCTTAGCCTTGCATCTTGCCTCCCACCATGACTGAAACAACAACTTCCTATAAAACCACCAACCACAGATCAAGGCTGAGAGTCAAGTTAGGGGAAGTCTGCCTAGCTTGGATCTACATTTGCTGGACTTAAGAACTTGCTTAACAAGGGAAAGTATTCCTTGATATGGAACTTCATTAAGAAATCAAGTTTCTCTTGGGCCGGCAGGTGGTACGGAGGTTAAGGCAGCTGGATCCTATATGGCTGGCTGCTCAGTTCAAGTTCCAGACCCAGTGCTTGAAAAACAAGCCAGGTGGGTGTGCAGTGATATCCAAAATCCCAGGAGGATAATGGAGAAGGGATTGTGGCATGGCCAACCCTCCTGGGAGTGATTTCCCACTTCTCCTCTCTCTCTAGCAAGTGCATGTACCCTATAGCAAACTTTAAAAAAAAAAAAAAAAGAACAAAAAAACAACTTCCTTTTCTACCTAGATTAAGTAGAGATGTGTTGGGTAACTTAATCTATGTCTTTCCCTTGTGAGCTTCTGGGATGCTTTTGTGATTTGATTACTATGCCTGTTTAATAAAATTATGCATAACATAAACTATTTACAATGATAAAAATCTGTCAAGTAATGGGTTCAAAATCAAGCCTGGCCACTTACTATGCCATGTGGGAAAACTAACATTTGGAGCTGCAGTTTTTCTCTTCCATAAAACAGGGATAATTAACGGCTCTCATGATGTTGATGTGAGAAGTAAATGATTGAGTAAGCTCAGGTAAGTGCAATCACCTGGCACAGCAGATTCTCAATACATTTTTGTTGAATCTTTTTTTTTTTTGGGGGGGGGGCACGTAAAGAAATACAATGAACTAAGCATAAAAGCCATAGACTGGAAAACCCCATCACCCTGACATGGGCAAGATTCTCAGCACACTTTGGAGAACAGAGAGTGAGGAGTTGGTTATTCTACTGGAGCTAGAACTTAAGGCTTTCATTGTGTCAGAAATCCCAGTCCTCCAACAGTACTTTTTAGCCCTTATTGAAATGGGGGGAAATTGGCTGGTATAGGACACTGGTCCCTACCCTTAACACTTGCTTGTTCACTTTCCCAGACTTAAGCCCCAAAGCAATTATGTATACATCACAAGTCTTGGCCCCCAAATCAGTGGTGTGGATTTCCACAACCAAGTTTAAAGGGATTTCAAGTGGGTAGTGTGCAAAGGCAGTGTCTTATGCAAACACAAGCCTCCGATGATAGTCTGTAACTATGACTACTCTAATAACCGCTATTATTGGTTGAATGTCTGCTATGCATGAGGCACTACACTAAGTGATTTATGTATCTCATTTAATGTGCACAACCACCTTATACGTAGTATTTATAACTTCCATTTCATAAATGAGGAAACGGGGGCTCAGCAAAAGTTAAATCACTTGCCAAAAGTAACACATCTAGTAAGCAGAGAAACTAATGGCCTTTTGTTGCATTTCCACCAAATAGGAAACTTCTGTATGAGGACTGCGTTATGACATGGTTGGACTCCAGGTGGGGAGGAAGGAGCCTTTGATTTCCTGTACCCTTAGCTTTGTAGAGTTGGCTTGGGTAGTAGTCATGGCTACAATTCTACATATCCACTTCCATTCTTCACCTGGCTGGGCTGGCTCCAAACAGATCTACATGATGGCCCACATGGCACAATTCATCCCTTCCCTGTCCTAATTTTGTCACTCTGCCATTATAACACTTCCATACTTAGGGTATGTCTCAGGTTCTCCTGACAACTGAGGAATCAAACTAGCATTAAGTGAGTTACTCTGACCATAGTTACTCTGACCTCCTCACTCTCTGTTGTCCCCCATATTGAAATCTTGGGCCCACTGCAACTAGGAGGAAACACAATTGTTCAGATAAAACCAGAGATTAATTGCCTGACTCCTAGAAAAGGCCTTTTAAAGGGTTCTATCCTATCTGACTTCTTTACACTAAGAAAGAGTCCTTCATCAAGTGCTTCCACACATGCTAGCCCAGGTCTTTATCCTCAGGACCCTGAGAAGACGTGAGGTATGGAGGGTAGTTGGGCATGGCTGTGATGTACCATACTGAAAACCATTCCCATTTTATCCTTCTTTAAAAGAAATTTTGCTCTAGAGCACATGTGCTCGCCAGAGAGAGATAAGGGGAATGTGGAAAAGCACCACCAGGGGGCCTGCCACATCACAATCCCTCCTCTTCCATTCTCCTCTTGGGATTTGGGGTACACACGTACCTACACCTAGAGTGTTTTGTAAGCTTCCAAGTCTGAGACTCAAACCATGCAGTTGGCCATGTGGGATCCAGCTGCCTTAACCACCATGCAACTGCCTAGCCTGAAAGCCATTTCCTCTGAAGAGTTCATTATTATCTTGACTAAAATACTATTCCTAGCTGCACTGGGGAGAAACTAGGTACACTTATAATTAGATTGCTGAAATAAATGCCCATAATAGATTATGATAAAAATATTCTTAATTCTTCTTCATTCCAGAAAAATCCTTCAGCCTGGTTCTGTATTACACACAGAAAATAGATCATTTTACTTTACCCTAGCATATACCATAATCTATGCCAAATCTCTTTAAGTATTTTGAATTGTTTAATTCAAGCTCAACAAGGTGGGATTTGTGAAGATAGATAATCTAAACATTATTCTGGCCTTCCTTCAAACATCCAAATTGATATATATGGAAGTAGTCCAAGAACTGGGGCCAATGCAGTAAAAAAGTGATTAAAGTAAAAATGGCACATTTCCAGGATTGCTACTTCCCCCTAGGTACATGGTAAACCAAATTAATAAATAAAGCAACAGACATTTCAGTTATGTATACTTAAATAGTTACAAACATACACATAGGAAAAAAGGATACAGTAGTGCAAAAAAATAAATTATTGAAACAGAAAGAAGTATGGACATTATTTTACACAATGCTCTATAAAACCTGAACCATTTGGAATGAGACCTCAAGTCAGTGAAATAATGCAGCAACATTATTAGTATCTTTGCTTCACATTTCAACCACATATTCATTTATGAAAGAAAGAAAATTAAAGCAAAACCACTTTAAACTTTCGGAACATTTTATGTTAAAACCTATTATGTTTTTAAAACACCTCTGCTGTTTATGTAGTTGTGCAGCATGTCAACAAGCATCTTAAGACAGAAAGTTTCAAACAGGTCACATTCTCTTGGTCTTTCTACTCATCAACAGCAGGGTGATACCTTTGTTTCATACCTCCTTCTGTTAAGATGTTATTGCAATTAGATATATTTACAAGCAGACTCCCATGGGGAAGCAGGGAGGGTGGGAACTCCTCTTCAGCAATCCACTGTCACTAGTTTTGGTTTCGGGACATAAAGGCCAGGACTCGCCGAATACCATTCAGTCTATCCTTTAAGGACCTCATTGCTAGGAACGGGAGCTGGGCTCGGCTTTCCAAGGGAAGAACTGCTAATGTCCACCAGCACCAGGCTGGGCCATTCGGGTTAATCTGCAACAGAGAAACACAATGGGTTCAACCTATTCCCATGTAAGCAATATCGGCCTATCGGTTTCCAAAGGTTCTAGGTAAACATCCCACATGGAACTAATGTGTGTGGCAGAGTCTGCTAATTTCTTCCCATATCTATTTCCCTCTTATTTTAGCTGAGCATGTAGCCACCAAGGAAAAGAAAATTCTCAGCCTCCCTTGCAGCTAAGGCCACGAGATAAAGTTCTGGCTAATGAGATGTAAAGGGAAGTGACAGATGTAACTTGCATTCTGGGTCATGCTCTGCGGAAAGATTTGCCTTCTACTTTCCTCTCTCTTTCCCCTGGCTAGAATATGGTGGACATGGTGAGGATAAGCCTTCTTCAGTCAAGAAGACAAGAGGTTGGGTTGGCCCTGTGGCCTAGTGGTTAAGGGAGCCAGATCCTACATGGCCGACTGCAGCGCGAATCTTGGTCCTGGTAGCTTGAAAAACACGTCAGGTGCATGTGCATGAGTGCTCAAAATCTGACAGGATGGAGAAATGGAAAAAGAGGAGTTATGGTGTGACTGTGCCTCATTGGGGGAAGGTCTTCTCTTGTTCTTTCTCTTTCTCTCTCTCTCCTCCTCTCTCATGCACATGCCCTCCGGCAATTAAAACATAAAAACAATGGCAACAGCCTAAGGATAGTAAAAATTTGTGATTCAAGAGCCTGGGTCCCTGAATGCTCTCCAGGAACAGAGGAGCTGTCCTAGCCCTCCGGGACTTATGCCCTCTATCTCATTTAAGCTAGTCATTTTTGGTTTCTGTTATAGCAAACAAAATAATATCCTAAGAGATAGCCCATATCTCCCAGACAGTGTGATTTTATGTGCTGGAATATCCACGACTTAATTCTCTTTCTCTTCCAAAAATCTGTTTAAATCTCTTTGGACTGATGTATACAACATTCAGTCCTTCATTTTCCCTGCACCCTTAGGCTCTGCATGTCTCTTAACTCCCTTCATCTCCTTGCTCTAGCTGAAGGCGATAGTCCAGCCATACCGTGTTACCATACAGGGCCATGGCTATCCTCTCTGCTCAAACGAAAGTCAATGATATCAGTCCCAAAGAGCTGCAATACCTATTTTGCAAAAATTCTAATTACAAAACATTTTCACATTAGAAATGTATTTCGCCCCTAGGTTTCCTTAATAAAGAGCTTTCACAGTCCACATACATCTTTTATCAAAATCCCATTCGTAAGCAGCTTCCTAGGCATACATTTAAGATATTGCCGATTTATTTCCTGCTAAGCCTGAAGTGAGTCTTCTGCCCACGACTCTCAGAAGCTGGCTTTAGGACTGTGAAGAACCACATTTTGGTCAAGCCACCTAACCCTGGAATGATCTGATCCCAGTTGGTTCGTCTGATTTCCCCCAAATCTCATGCCCTCTTTGCTTCTCTGTGCCTGGAACTTCATTCGGATTCATTAGGATCCCTCCCTGAAGTCTACACCACGTGCTCCTCCTTATATTCAGTTGTGAATATTAGACTGACATCCTAAACTTTCTCCCTTAGGGTCATCAACCAAGATATGTAAGCTGATGTTTTACTTGTGATGGTTTCTAAGAAAGCTCTTCTGGAAGCTTAGAACATTCTTATTTGTGGGATCACTCAGGCTGCAGCATTATCTGGAGCAAAGAGGACGGGTTTTTGTTTTTGTGTTGTGCTGGTTCTGCTGCCACCAAAGCCACATGATAACAGAACTAAGAAGGAAATGCAACCCACGATTTCAGCTTTGTGTGTCATTAAGCTCTTATGAATCACACTGTGGCATCTGTGTTTTCTCCTTTGGAAGTTGCTATTATCCTCTCTGATCTGTCTTCTGCCTGGCTGGGGAAGAATGCTTCCCAGAAGGTGAAGGAGAACATTAAGCCCGATCGTGAGCTTGCTCAGAGCTATGCTGGAGTTCTGAGTCACTTTGGCCCAGGGCCAGGTGCTGGGTCACCGGGAAGCACTAACCCGGCTTTTGCTCTTCAGTACTCACGATGCCTTTGCATGGGGGAAGGGTGTCACCTTTGTAGTCTGAGACAGCACATTTCAGGGAACAAACTGGTGTTTTAGAGCCTCAGAATGCAAGAGGAAGAGGGGATTTTAGAGACTTCCTCACCCACTTCCCTCATTTCAGAGAAGGAAGAAAAGCTGAATAGCAAGGGACCAAGCCAAAGTCACACAGCTAGAGAGAAAAACAGAATGAGTCTTTTGACGGAAAAGTCAGATTTTTCTATTGTGCTAGAGTTGGGAAGCAGTCTAAGTAAAGAATTAAGGAAGAGATCTCCTCATCCACCTCACTCATTTCAGAGATGGAAGAGAAGTTGAAAGGAAAGGACCTTCCCATGGTCACATAGCTAAGGAGATAAGCAAAACCAGACTTTGACAGAAAAGTCAGATTTTTTATTGTGATCAATTTGGGAATGAGCATAAGTAAAAAATCAAGAAAGTTACAGGAATAATGATGTAGGGGAGCCAGCTCAGAATATGGAAAAAGGTGATGGTGAAGAAATATCCGGTTAGGACCTGAAGCCTTGTCCTAGAAAGTGTTCCCAGAAATGGAACTCCCTGCAAGTATCCCTGACTTATACCAGGCGAATAAAGTGTGGTGAATTTTAACTACCTCTACTTTTCTGAAGAGCCTCTGGTAGGTGATTTGGTTTCACAAATTGACCTAGACCCTCAGAAGAAGACTGATGCAGCAGAACCTACTTCTTTTTTACTTTTTTCTATAGAGTGCATGCACTTGCCAGAGAGAGACTGAGTCAGAGAGAGACAGACAGAGAGGGAAAGTGAGAAATCATCCCCCCAGGAGGGATGGCATGCTGCAATCCCTTCTCCTCCAGTCTCCTCTTTGGGCACATACGCACACTCACCCAGTGTGATTTTTCAAGCCACTGGGTCCAAGACTTGAACTGCAGAGTTGGCCATGTCATCCAGTCACCTTAACCTCCATGCCACCTGCTGGCCCCAGAACTTAATTCTAGTATGACTCAGGCAAAGGTAAATGTCAAGATGGGGTCAGTTTTCTCAGGACCTTTCCACCTTGAAGAGGACAATAGCCAGGGTCTAGACTTGCAGGGCTAAACACTGACTGGATGTGGGCATGAAAAGTTTCTGTGGTCTTGCAGTTGGAATCTTGCAGGACAGCTGGCTCTATTTCTTAGCTCCTGTGGCAACAGGGGAGAGGATTATGAAGTTCCCTGGCAGTGCAGTCTTTGGTATCAACTCCCAGGATGCCCTTAAGTCCTGACCTTTGCATGTATCTTGTCACCCTGACGTTACTGTGATGTGAATCCGGACTCCCACAGAAGGTTTTTCTGTTGGTAGCATCCATGTTCCCATTCTGTCACCCCACGCACATGCTAAAACCTGTCTTGGATCCAAGGTTCTACTTCTTTAATTATTCCAATTCTAACTTCAGGTCCTTCTGGTCTTACCCATGGTGCTCACTGCCCAGCTGAACAATACCAAAACGACTCCATCTTTCCCTCTGCACTTGATTTGCTGAGTGGCAACCAGATACCCATCTAATCACAAACCCAAAGCACTGTCATCTGGTGGGGCAATTCAATATGAATAGACATTTTTATATACCTGAGGATCAGCATCTTTCTCTGGCATGGGACCAAAGTGATTGAGTATCCGATTCTTCAGAGATGATTTGAGCGAATGAAACCACGAAGACGCTTGCTCATAGACACAGTTATGCAGTCCCATGAGCTCAGCATAGTCCTCGCCCTGAACCTGAAAACATCAGTGGAAGTGAAACAGTCTGTTCGCTCTCCATCACTCCCAGCCACTTTGGACAACTGACTCTCTCTGTGTGTCCATCCTACCTCTCTGTGGCATGGCTGGCCCAGGTGCTGGGCTGGGTGTAAATACTGCTAAGGGTGGAGGAAGAACAAAGGTTCAACTGGGCCAATGAGCTGAAACAGCAAGACATACAGAAAACCAGAAGCGTAAACTGGCCTGGGTGGAGGCATGTGGTTAAACTGGGTTATGCTGGTTTATGACTCTGACCTTTTCATGCTTGTATCTGTTTTCCACATTGCTTACTGAGAAGAGAGACACAAATGCATCTGTGCCATAGTGTGTAACTATTTCCTCAGCCAAATACTTATTAACCTCCTATTATGTAGTGACTGCAAATATAAAAGAAAAAAACAACATGAGATGATTGACCTTTGTTTACACTTCAGTTCATAAAGTCAAAGATTAACTGACTATGTCATCTTTCTGCCTTATGGGATGATGGATCAGTGGGGAGGGCTCTTATACAGGTTGCACGTTAAAAAATACAAATGTGGGGACCAACAGATGGCATAATGGTTATGTCGCTGAACTCTCATGTAGTTGACTGTGGTTCAAGTCTCAGGCCCGGTGATTTGAAATTCATGCCAGGCACATGGGTATGGAGGAGAAGGGATTGCAGCATGGCCATCCTACCTGGGGGGTGATTTCTCACTTTTTGTCTCTGTCTCTTTGGTGAGTATAATTGCCCTATAGCAAAAAATCTCTCTTAAAAAATATAAATGTGTGTGGGAACCAGCAGTTAGCGTAATGGCTATGTCGCTGGACTCCCACGTAGTCGACCACAGTTCGCGTCCCGGACCCAGTGGCTTAAACTCACGCTGGGCGTGTGTGTGTGTGTGTGCCCAAGATCCCAGGAGGAGAATGGAGGAGAAGGGATTGCGGTGGGACCATCCCCCCTGGGGGTGATTTCTCGCTTTCTGTTTCTATGTCTCTCGCTGTCTGTCTGGCAAGTGCACGCGCCCTTATAGCGAAAAAACCTCTCAAAAAAAAAAAAAAAACCCAACATGTTGCATGTGT